AGAGTAGCAAAAAAAGCAGAGTAGCAATGTCTCTCTCTGACAGCCCTTGCAAAACCCCCTGGGAGTGTTATCAGCTCAAGTTCAGTGCTGTAGAACTACAGCAAGGTAGTTCTAATTCATTATTATACCTAGGTTAATGAACTCTTGTGAAATCTAAACATGGAGATGCATGGCATGGAAACACCCATATGGCATAAAAACACCCACATGGCTCTGCATTGCTGACTCTGTGCAGTCAGGAATCTCTGCTCTAACTCTGCAGTGTATCTTGTAACATTTGAGGTGTTCAACTCGAACTCTTCCCGAATAAATACCAGGCTTCTTTTACTTTTTCTTCCAAGATGGCTTATATTTTAAAAATTAACTGGAGCATATCCCGTCAATTTCTTTTTTTCTCACCCTTTTGCCATTCTGCCTTCCTGTTTGAAGCTGAGTTTTCTGCACTTTTGGCAGCAGGCTGTCCTGAGCAAATGCTACAATTGTGAACGAACTCAGATTATTCTTGTCACCTTTGCAAATCCCTTCCAGGCTGAGCCCATTCATGGAAATAAGCACATCTGGTGTTTTTAAACTCTGTTTTGAAAATTACTTAATTCATCATCTTGTTGTTGGTTCATTGCACAGCAATCCAGGGAAACCTCTTCTTGAACAGATTTTTTTTTTGGTTTTGTTTTGTTCCCCCCCCCCCAGGTCTTGATCTTTGACCTCCCTGTGGTGCAATTGTCTTTGGCTGTTATGTCTGTTGGTTTAAGTTGCTGAAGTTAATGTCGTTAAGTTAGCTGCAACTTTTAGTTGTGTGTGAAAATTTTCAAATTTGTTGCTGGAAATTTCAAACCACAGTTACTTAGTAATGCAAGTTCATTTCCTGTTGCAAAAAGGGAGTTATGTGCAAAGAGTTGTCTTGCTATCATCTTAAGTCTTACTGAACAGATGCTTATGCAGGTAGATAGGTTTAACTTTTAACCAAGATAAATTAACAAACTGCTGTCATTCTGTGTTGTCAAAGTAATCAGTTTGCTGCTCTGAAGCTAGTTTGCGCAGCACTGTTGTGGTCAGTTATGTAGACGTATCTTCTATAAAGGAAATATGGCAGGGAAGCACTTTTTTTTTTTAAGGAAAAAAATGTTTAATTTGATTTGTAGTTTTGACTCAGTTGGAAGTTGACTATAACTTGTGGTTACCCGATATTGTGTTCTTAATTGCTTGTGCTTTGCCAGACCTTCTGCTAATGTTTCTCAAAAGGTCATTTCATTGCAGAGATTTGGAATGGGAAATGTGATAATGAAGCTTAATTCTTCTATTTGTGAAGTAGTACAATAGGCAGCTGGTGTCACAGATCTTTGTGTCCTACCGGTTTTTCAGTTTGGTTGCTTCAAAGTCTTAGTCACTCCTCGGCTAGCCAGCCTCAAGTATAGCTGTGGTGCATCAGCTGTGAATTGCCTTCCCAATTCACAGTGTCAATTCTGGATATTACCACACACAGGTGCACACTGGGGCGTCCCAGGAGCACTGTCGGTGCTTACAGGCAAGAGCTTTTGCTCTACTGAAATCTAGGCTTCATCATTAAAGAATCATGGGATAACATAGCTTGAATGGACCTGTAGGTCATCTGGTCCAAGCCCTTGCTCAGAGCAGGCCAAATTAGATGAGGTTATTCAGGTCAACTGTTGCAGTGGAAATCTGGTTTTATTGCAGGTACAAGGTCTAATTCTTAGGCTTTTCTAGCCTAGGGATGCCATATTCTAAGTTTAGTTTCAAGATAAAAAGGTAACCTCTGATAGGCCTTCAAGCCCACATTCTTTCCCTCCAGCTTTTCCAATTTCCTCTCTGTCTCTCACAGGTGAGGCCAGAGGAGTCTGTGTCTTGGGACATGCAATCTCCGAAATTTCCCAGTGCAGTAACAGCCTCTTTCTGTTGCCAGTTGACAGCAAAGTGTCAGTTTCTGTCAGTCATCCCTTCTAGGGTGGATCAGAATACATTACTCTCTCCTCCACTGTGAAACTGCATGCCGTAACAATAAGCAGGACTAATAGTGACCAGAAGACTCCACATTAACATCATTCTTCAGTCCATCATAGTGTGCTGAAAGGAGGACTTATCAGCGTGTTTGTTTTGCTTTGTTTTTTAGCAAGGTCTTCGCCTTAATCTTGGATGAAATCTCTTGCTTTTTATTTTTGGTCTGGATTGTGCTATTTCTGTCCAAGACAATAAAGACAGGTGAAGGAAAAACGGAAAACTATATGGCGTTATAGTTTTAATAGACTTTTGTACCTGTAAAACACTCAAAACCAAACTTTGAGGTTTTCTTGGACTACTTCATTCTCCATGCGGGTTCCACTTTTAGTGTGCATTTGAAATTGAATTGCTTTTGGGAAGCAGATCCTGAAACAGTTACTACCATGGGCATCAGAGATGGGACATTTTGCCTTCGTTCTCCCCTGCCCACGGCCATGATGTGAGATGTGTAATGTCCCTATTGCTTTACCTTTGACAGGTATTGGAGACAGTGTTTTTGGGAAAATGACAGTATATGACAGCCTGTCTAAAACTTTCCTGCTACATCTGCAATGCTGGATGTCACCTTGCCATTACCTACTGGAAGGAAGGTAGCATCAGTGTGTGCATCTAGTTGATTCCACTTGCCCAAGTAGGAATCCCACCCCGCCAATGTCGAGCTGCTGCTGAATGGGCGGATGAAGTCAAAACAAGTGTTGTAGGGTAGTTATCTTCTGCATCTCTTCGTTTATACACGCATGAATTGTAAACCATTCCCCTCAAGTGTGAGGAAGTAGCTCTGGATCTGCTATAGATGCAAAAGAAATAGTTTGTAAAAATCTCTTTTTATGTGTATTTGAAGTCAGCCATTTGTTTTGAATGCAGGCTTTTCCAAATTATGACATCTCGTGATGCAGATGCTTACTGACAATAGCAAAGTGATGTATTAGGCAGAAAAAAGGGAATGAAGGTGTTCCCTTCTTCCCCTTCCGTAACAGAAAATGATACCCTCTTCCTTCCCTTTGATACCACAGTCTTCTAGGACTTCAAAACTTCCTGTTAGAACATTTGCTAGTATCCCTCTGGGTTTTTGTATGGGTTATATGTGTTGTTTCAAGGCCTCCCCACACCTTTTCCAGACTTTTGCTTTCCTAATAGACACGCGTGTGTCATTTCAGAACAGCAAAGGACCAGAAAAATCTGGAGGCTGGCACTTCTCAGATGTTTTTGTTACTACTCCTTATTGTACTAGATCATGCTTTTTTCTCTGGTAATTGTGTTTCCCCTCATGCTGGGGTGGGGGGAAGCAAGCCAAGACTTGAGAATTATAGCAAACCTTGCCCTGGGCAGGGAGTTCAACCTTTTTTTCTAATGAAGCAACTCCAGAGTTTAATCATCTTGCGGGCACTGCCTGATCTACTCTCTCTCTCAAAAAAGAGTTTATTTCTCTGTCCTTTACTATTTCAGGAGCTATCAATATGGTGCTAGTTGACTGACATCTGGAAGAGGAACATTTTTGCATTAAGCATAGTTATATTATTTCAGAATAGGAGATTTTCATTCTAAGTGGTCTGAGCAGCAGCTGTTCTCAAATATCTTGGTTTTCTGATATCTTGGTTTTCTGAAGGGTCTTTTTGCTAGCTTAGTTTGGGCATTTCTTTTGCTCTCTCTTCTGGATGTCTGAATTGCTTACGTAGTTGCTATATTACTTAGAAAGTTGTCCTTGGACTTATGCAATATATGTTACACTGAGTTTGTGTAGCTACTGCTGTCTCTGCGTATTTTGACACTGAGTAAGAGATGTAGAGCAATGACAAAGGACATCCATGCTCTCACTGCTTGCTGTGCTATTGGTGTAGACCTCCAGGCCTCCAAGTCTGGTAGAGCGGTCTTTCAATGGTGGTTATCTCTGTGCGCAGAATCCTGTTTGCTAGTACAGAGTAGAATCTCTGTGGATGGTCACTTGATTTAAAGCAAGTGTGGTGCTCTGTGGATTGCATGTTGTGAAAAATCTGTCCGCTAATTCAGAATCTAAAAGTATGGGATTGTTGCTAAAAGAATGGGATTTGGTTCTGATACAGGATGAGCAGTACAGCTTTCATTGTTTTATATTTTTGGTTTCAGTTGTTAGAAATAGTTACTAGAAGATACTAGCTTGTGTCACGATCATGAAGGATCAAACTGTGAGATTGATCCTGCTTTGAATGGGGAGTTGAACCAGATGGGTTGAAAAGGACTTCTGGAGACTAAATGATGCTATGATTCTGTAGTTATGGCTGGCAAAACGTTAATACTAAAAAAGGCTCACCTATCTTATGTATGAGGAGCAAGCTTGCCACAAGAGAAGTCCATGTGACAGCCTCTCAAAAAGTGGTGATTACTGAAAGCTAATAACTGTTCTTTGAGCAGTTATTAGGAGATCCTAATTTAAATACAATTCCAATCATTGTTAGTAAGACAATGGAAACTGGTAATGGACATAAAACCTCTCACCTTTTGTGTCATACTTATTAATGTAACCTACAACACCCGAAAGCTGTTCGTGTTATATGCAAGAGCCTGCTGCATTTCAGTTTCTTCATAATTAGTGCTTCTAGCAGAGATGGAGACTTTCTGGATATTGTAAAGGGGGCCTGACTGTTACTTGTTACCTTTTCTGCAGGCGAATAAATGTAGGAACTCGCTTTCAAGCAGAAATCCCATCACTCCAGGATAGATCTCTGGCTGCAGTTGATGAACATAAAGCAGAGCTGGTGTGGCAGCCGTGGGGTGACCTGGAAACCAACAAAGTCACCCAGGAGAATGGTAAGAATGTGGAAGGCTGGTAAATGGGACTGAATTGCCACGGTTGTTGTAGGGGTAACCACATATCTACTGTAGGCATAATTTAAAATCTCTCAGAGCTGCCAGTCGGGTGACATGTTTGAGTAGCCTTGAAAACAGTCTTAGGAGCAAAACTTGTTTATCAGGTTGTGTGTGGCAGGGGGGAGGTTGATAGGATTGGTTTTTTTAATTGAGATGAAATGGGACCATTTGTTACTGGTCAGGCAAAGAGCAGCCTTTTGCTCAGTGAAGCTTCCTTCTCTTCGTTAACATTTGAATGCCACGTGCACTCAACTTCTGTAATTTCAAGGGATGTTCTAGACATAATAGTATTTTGGAAAAATCAGGTTGTAGATGGAAGTCAGGATGAGGAAGCAGGAGTTGTGGCAGCTAGTAGCAGGCTTGGGGGGCTGTCTACTGTTGGTGCACATGGGCTGTGGCATGTATAAATCCTGAAGGGAAGAGGAAGTGGGCAGGCTTGGAAGAAATCTTTCTGATGAAAGAGAAAAAAGGGTATTGTGAAATGTAAATTCACAATATAGTAAAGGGGGGAATTCAGGATCTCTCTGAGGTGAAGGGAGATGGAAAGACATTATAGGAGGGAAAAGAGGAGGTTTGCAAGAAACTCCCATGTGTAAATAGTCCTGCATGCAGAATAATGTTGTGTGACCTTGCAGTCTAATGAGTTCTTGTCTCTAAATTTGACCCAGATAAATTTGCAAGCACGTTCAACTTCTGTGAGAGTTTTACTTTCTGTTATGTCTAGCTCTGCTTTAAAAGAGCTAATTAATGATGTGAATCCTGTAGGAAACTCCATTTTAATCTTCTTATCTGAATTTGTTTGGTACTTCTGTGGAAATAGTGGAAAACCTGCTAGCTGCTGCCTGTTCAAGCATTTTTCCTGGGGCTGGAACCAACCAGGAGCTGGCGCTGCATTTCTTACATGAAGCAAAGGGAAACATTCTGGTGAGTCTTCCCAGCTTTTCACCTTGATGTGGTCAAAGATGTTAATGAAGGCCAGGTAATCTGCCATTCGCGAGAGGAGAGCCTTGCAAACTCCTTCCTATGCATCTAGCTCCCACTGTTCAGTGTCCCTCAGAAATGTTGCTGTCCCTGAAGTGGCTTCTGCCTGATGTACAGTGCCATATTCACTTAACTATCTTGCATATTTCCAACTTTGACAAGTTTGGCTTTTTAACAAACAGACTGACAGTCTACCAGGGCGAGTGAGCTAAGACTGCAAAATGAATCTTAAATGTTGTCTTCCTGGGAAGATGACCATGTTGGAAGGAAAAATAAGAGGCTGGGGCTGAAGCTGAGACTTTTTAAAAGTGCAGTGTCTTGCTCCTCTTACTTTCGGCAGATCCATTTAACTTCTCTGTGCATTTCTATAAAACACCTGTGCTGCTAGTTTTGTCAGTATTGTAAGACATGATACACTTTCATAAATGCCCTTTGACACCCCTGGGAGGTAATATCAAAGACCAGAGCATATGGGACAGGGTCATCGTCTTTTTATAGTTCTATGATCGATTTAACCTGGCATAAATGAGCTCTGTGGTCAGAAGTATCCCACGCTTTTGCCTGGCTGCTTGTTTCCCATCCCCCGTAGCGCGCCAGCACTGACACTTGTGAGGCTGTATTGACCTGCATTGGAGAAGAGAACAAATAAAAAGTAATTTTTGTGTGTATGTGTTAGGTTTCTGCTAGGTAAGTTCCCAGAACCAGCCCACCATTGTGAATGCTGTTGCTGGCGTTAGGGAGGAGCAGGGCTGCCCCTGGCAGCAGGAGCTCACTGTTAAGGTGGTTTAAACTGCTAATGGAAGCGTACCTCCGTTCTCTCCTTCCTGCTAACTTTGAAAGCAATTCCAGCTTAAATGCAAAGTAAAAAGCAGCTTGAGAGGGTATTTTTTGTATGGAATCTTTCAGTCACATGACTGCTCTGTTTTATTTTGAAATATTGCTTAGTTAAGTGAGATAAGATCACAATGACTTGGACGTTTAAGACAGACATTTAGGGCAGTGTTTTTGGATGCGAGTATGTGATTTAGGCCTTCAGTAAATGAGAGGAAACTGCTGCATGGTCTCTGTCTATGGAATTAACTCTCTCCCAATACTGTGGTGGTTGCGTTGGAAAGTGTCGATTCGCAGAGACGTGAAGAGGTGCCAAGAGCTCACCACTTGCCTGTGGTACCCAACACTCAGTGAATAGGCAAGAATGTGATTTTAAAGTTGTCCCAAATGTTAAACTGTGCTATGGTTCTTCTCAGTTAGCTTGCCAGAAAGGAGAGGATTAACAATTGCCTGGTCTTTGTTTTAAATACCCCAAACGTTAAATTAATTATTTTGTGTTTATCTTAGGGAGCTTTGACCAAACTGCTATTGAAGAGGCCAGTACGATCACCTACCCACCCTTTGGCAGATTATCACTACACAGGTTTGTTAACTAGAATAACTCTGTGCTGACTATCATAAAGGAATTCTTCTATCCTTTTCTGCTTTTTTGGGGAACTCTGTAATATTACAATAAGATTAAAAGACCACTCTTGTCTCTGGTAAATCAAATGAAGGCTTGCCAGGAGTTTTGCCTGTGCAAATTACGACACTTATAATGTAAGAATGACAGCATCTGTTGGAGCATGTGCATGTGTGTATTTGCATATGTGTGTGTTCTGATTTTCTTTATGGGGAAAAGGGAATATGATCCCTTACACGAAGCACAGAGAATGCAGAAAGATAGCTAGAGTTTTGCCTGTGCAAATTACGACACTTATAATGTAAGAATGACAGCATCTGTTGGAGCATGTGCATGTGTGTATTTGCATATGTGTGTGTTCTGATTTTCTTTATGGGGAAAAGGGAATATGATCCCTTACACGAAGCACAGAGAATGCAGAAAGATAGCTAGTCATGTCCCACCTCCGAGAAGGGGAGAGTGACTAAGATTCACAGATCCCCTCGGTGTGGATTAAGGTGAGTTAACACTCAAGGTCCGTACATAAACATAAACTTTAATGGAACAAACATTCTGTAAATGTTGACCCTCTCACAATTATATCCACCTAAGCTATGCGGCTTTATGAGAAGTTGAGGTAGGCCTTGGGTTACTTAGCAGCTTTGAGAAGAGAGAGTGTGTGCTAGAGAGGGGGGGAGAGAGAGATAAGGAGATCACCAGTCCTGGATCCAGCGTCGGACCTGCCAACGGGGGTGTTGGTGTAGAGAGCGCCCCAGAGGCTTGTGTGTGCCCCTATTTATTGGCCCCAGTTCCAGGAGTGGCTGAGACACCAGTCAGTCAAGGGAAGGATCTGAACATATCGTATCGAAGGAGAGAAAGAAGAGAATAAGCGGCTAATCAGGCACCTTATTATGGCAAAGCCGATAGCTAGACCGATTAATATTAACAAAAGTATCACTAAAGCTTCCACTACCCAATCCCACCATCCCGCAAGTCCAAGTTTTTTGAGCAAAGTTGAAATCCATGAGGTAGGGTTCCAATCCACCTTCCATTCATTTGATAACATTGACTGGAACAAGTCTCCCATCT